TGAGTCCCAGTCTGTTTTAAGAAGCAGCCTTGGTTTGGTGGGGCAAGAGAGGTGCTAATGTGAGGCAAGAGTGCCTGGGGCTCCTCCAAAGTGGCGCAAGTTCTGGGGTGGACCTTGTACACTCAGGTTTAGGGCTGCCAGGTGGCCCAGAAGTTGTGGCCCCATCCATGGGTTTCTCTACTGAGACTGGCTGTGGCTCTGAAGAATCCAAGGCAAGTGCCAAGACTCGTGATACTAAGGTGTGTCCTGAAATGAATTGTTATGCCAACAAGTCCATTCTGCATGTTCTTCCCTGTAGAGCCACATGATAGTGCCTTGGGTCCGTTGAGACCGCTGATGAAATAATTATATAATATTATAATTATATAATATTGTTATATTATAACAATCATGGGGCAGCCATACAACTAAAAATATGTGATGTTTACAGTGTTCTTTATGATGTTAATAATGTTACATTAGTGAATCTTGACTTTTGGCTTTGAAAGCCCAAGAAAACGATAGCAACGAAAATTCCCAAGTAACCAACACAGTGGCTTCCAAAAGTTAGGCTGGCCTCAGTTCTGGCATTGGCATTGCCTATGTTTCCCGGAGCACATGCTCTTCCGTACCAAACCTTTTTCCTGTTGTTGCATCCTGGGCTGCTGGCTTTAAAAACGTCATCACATCCACTTTGTAGGGTTGCCTGGCCAATAAGGCCAAGCTCCCCTGGGCCTGCACGCCTGCCCCCTGTTCTCATAGCGTCTCACTATTCCGGTCATGCCTGCCCAGCAGACTGTATGGAAATGTGAGGGCCTTACTGATTGCTGCAGCTGTTTTGAATCATCTGTTTTAGGGAACTGGATAAAAATAGTATTGAAACTAATGGCTATTTTAAAAAAGTAAGTTATAGGTAAATAAATTATAATGTTCAGAATCAGAATCCCAGTTTTGCACAGATGGCCATTAACAGAACTGAACTCCCACTTTCTCTGTTAGTAAGTAAACAATTTATTTAGCCAGATCAAATTCTTTTTAAATGACAGAAATCTACTGAAAACGTCTTCATTTTGTAATACTGCTGACATAGGTAGTCCCCTGAGTCCTTCACCTTCCCGAATTCCCAGTGGTCCTTTCTCATCATCTTCCCCTCAGACTGCTCTAGAAAATGGCCAGGTACTTTTGGTGGACACTGCCTGGAGGGGTGCTGGTTCTGTGGAGGGGCATGGATCCCCACCCAGGATTTGTACCCTACTTTGGCAGCACAGAACCATTGCAAATTCCTCTTTGTGGATGGGGCTTGGCCTCAGCACCCCAGCTGAAGTCACAGGATATGGATGAGAGAGAGTCCTAAATAAACACTTGCCTGCCATCTTTATAAGCTGTGTCCTTCTGTCTTGACTGTATCAGTCTCTGTCCTCTCAGACTGTTGAAGTGGTGGGGCCAAGAAGAGGGCAAAGTAGGGGACAGCCCTAGAAGAGGCGGGAAGATGGATGGCAAATAGAATGACGTGCGATTTGGCTCTTGAAGGTAGAGCTGGTGCCAGGTTGAGTCTTGCCAGAATCAGAGGCACAGCAGTTGTGCCCATTATCTGAGAAGATCTTGACTTCTCGGGAGAGAAGACTCCTCCTTCTATACGTTGCACAGTGTTTCTCATGCTGGCTGGGGGCAGTTGTGAATTCTGACCAGTGAATCCATATGAGATCCTGTGATTCTATATGATTGTCTTGTTTGCTTTATTTTTTCCATGCATTCCACTGTCATCTACAGATCTGGCGGCAGGTTGGGGATGGTGCATCATGTGCTAATCCCTGGTCCCACCCCCTGCCTCCTCAGTTCACACCAATGGATTACACTGACAGTGTTCAAGATCAAGCAAGCAAGATGTATCACACCAAAACATTTGGTTCCATGCCGTGAGTAGTTTCATGTACCTGGTTGTTCGCGAAAGTCAGAAATCACAAAATCGAAGGTGCCTGGTATTTCCTGTGGTGACGAGTTTTAAACATTAACCGTAAGGCAGAGATCCTGAGTGCACAGAAAAGGGACTGGTAAATGTTTGGGCTTGGAATTAGTGCACCTTATTGTTGTCTTTCAATGATTTATATGTTGGGCACATGTTTTTAATTTAAAAAACAAGCCTCCTTCAAAAAAGAAATAAATACAACAACAACAACCCCTCCCCCCCCAAAAAAAACTAAAGCCACATTTACTTGAAATGAGCTCTTTCGTGATTACCGCAGACAGCATGCATGTCCCAGACCAGACCCAAGGACTGCTGCCAGGAAGAGGAATCTGTCTGCAGTCTGCTCTGGCTTATGAAACTTCGGGGCTTCATCTTGTGGTACTTGGAAAGAGTGCCCCTCTTGCTTTAGAAGCATGCTTCAGTGACGCTTGTATCACAGCTTTAGGCCTCTGCTGACAACCTGGAGCTCGCACAAGACTTTGAAGGTTTGGCCCAGGCACTGTTGAGAGGCAAGCATTCCCATCCTAAGTACAGGCCTAGCCTAAGGTTAACAGGGAGACTGATGTTTTGTTGCTTCATTTTCCTATTAAGCCCTGGGTTGCTGATTGAAGCAAAATTCCAAAGTTTTGACACACCACCACATTGTTAACACGATAGGGAGGATTTGATTATGGGAGAACAAGTCCAAAAACGGTAAATTGACAAAAAGAAAAAAAAAGTCTGGGGCCTTACTTCTCAAGGCAGCTTTTGTGGTTGCATTCCTTTATTTGATGTGGTTCCCTCCTTCTCCTTTGCCAAACGGTGCAATGTGGAAAAATGATGATGTTGCAAAAAAAAAAAAAAAAAAAAAAAAGGAAGGGGAGTAGGGAGTGCACTGTTTGGTAACAAAAAGAGAAAGAAAACAAATCGGAGCACGGGAATCAAAGAAGAAATTACCTGCTTTTCCAAGCAGGAAGAAAAAAGAAGAAAAAAGAAACACAGGAGTCCTCTCTCCGTCTGTGGGTGAAGACAGCCCGGCTGTCATTTGGCACCTCGCAGGTCAGTCCCTGAGAGAGCTCAGTGGTGACAGGGAGACCACAGGCTGCCGGGAGGTGAGAAGAGAGTGCTGGAGGAAGGCACGCTGAAGGCCATGGGTTACCAGGAGCGGGAGGTTTTAAGGAATGGGCTGGGGAAGAGAGAAGTGGAGCCAAAGCTGCCTTCCAGCCTCAGCTGATGTGACTGAACATGTCCCAACACCAGCCTGCCCCTTAGAGAAGCACCAACATTTCAATGAGGAAGCAGGTTGCCACGCAGGAGCTGCAGTTTATTTATTTACAGTTTTCAGGCTGGGCAGCTTTTCTGTTGTGTGGCTTCTTACTCTACCCAATGTGGCATTTTCTGAGTTTTAAAATTATCTCCTTTCGCACTGTGAAAAGAGCATATATGATTCATCTTAATATTTCGGAGGATCAGTCACTAACAGCCAGTATTTTGGGTGGGAGGAAGGCTTTTGTAGGCAGCTCCTTCACCTAACATAGAAGTAAAAAAGCCCCAGAATATGCCTGCAGCTTCGTTCACAGCCATATAAATAGCTGGCTCTTGCACAGTTACACTCCAGTATCATTGTGAGAACTCCCACGGGCCGCGAGCTGCCTTAGATTCACCTCACCACTGCCTGGAAAAGGCTGGTGCCTCTGGTTTATTTGCTGACAGAATAGGATTTTTCAGAGATTTGGCCAAAGGATCTCTTCTTCATTCTTGCTTAATAACCTAATCTAGGTCTCTCTTTTGCCTATTTGAATTGTCCCTAAAAAACTTATCCAAAATGTGCATAATGAGAAAACTACAGATGAATTTCAAAAATAATTTTTTGCATAAAAATCAACTATTAATTCAACTTTTTCCATGAACTTCTTGAAGTCTCCCAGATGTTTTCCCCTACTTTTTCAACATCTGTTGAACTGTCCAGTGGCTTTGTAATTCTCAATCAAGAGTCAACAAGCAAAGCCAGCTGATGAGCTAAGGAAGGATTGTTAAGCTTTTTAAAACATAAAAAGAATAATGTTCTATGACTTTTAAGAGTTGTATTGTAGGAGATGTGAGCTTCCATAAGGAAAACTGCGCTGGAACATAGCCGTGCTCATTAGTTCCCTTCCATATTGTCCGCAGCTACGGAATCAAGCAGGTGCAACAAAGGCCTAAGGCTGTAAAACCAACAGTGTCCACTGCCACTGCCCAGCCTTGATGTTATCTTCTACTATGACCATTTCAGAAGATATTTCTTGTCTTGTAATGTCTGTTTTTGAATATTTAGCCCCATATATTTCTTTAAATTCATTCAGTGTTAATACTACAGCTATTTAATGGATAACTAATTGTTAGCTTGGCATGTCCTTGTCTTGGGTAGAGAAGTGAACAAAATGGACAAAGATTCCCTCCCTTTCTAGGGGTGCTGTCATTCTAGTGAAGGCTGTGGGTGGTGAATACTAGTTTGACAGAACATGTTATGGAGGTGTGGGCCGTGGAAGTGTGGCAAAAGAAGAGATGGGGGCAGGTTATTTGAAGTAGGTGGTTCAGGAGCACATAGCATGTGAGAAAGGCCTGATGCAGGTGAGGGTGTGAGCCCCACACATGTCTGGGAAAAGAGCTTTAGACAGAGGAAATAGTAGGTGAATGGAGCCCATTCTTGTGATGGGAGCAGCCCTGGCATAGCTCTGGAGTCAGTAACCCAGATGAGAAGGATTGGAAGATTGGACATGGCTCATGGAAATGTGAGGAGTGACAGATGAGGCAAGGAGGACTGAAGGTTTGGGTCTGGAACCAAGAAATGGGACTGGATGGGATGTGTGCTGGAGTGGTAGGTTTTGCAGGCAGTTTGCTATTGTGAAGTGTGTTTTCCACATCCAAGTGGAAGTGCTAAGTGGGCAGTTGGCCATTGGGGTCCTGGTTGCAGGAAGATTCTGAACTGGAGATCTAAATTTAGAAGTTCTCAGGAGAAATTTTAGGCAGTGAGACAGATTCAATCTCAAAACCCAGATGTTTCCTTATTTCCAGTATGCTGTCCTGCTGTGATCACACCAACTCTTTTTTGACCTTGTATTTTCTTTCCATGTCACCACACGCACTGCACTAAGATCTGCCATTGTTCTTCTTGCTTCCTGTCTGGGCGCTAGGTGGCCTGGGCACCATGAGGTCAGAGATGTGCTTTCCCCAGTAGAGCAGAACACCACTTAGCGTGGTTCTGGGTCAGTGGTCTGCTGACCACCCTGAGTTCCTGACCCTTGTCCACAGGTACCTCCCTAAATTATATCCAAGTCCCTCTTACTTCTAGCCCTCATCTGAAACTGACTGCTCCCTTGTCTACTGATTACTTGAAAGTAGCAACCATACTTCATTTTGTCTATATGTACAGTTAACAAAAATTTCCTTGATTCTGTTTTTTCTAAATGCCTTATTCCCATGCTTGACCTTATGAACATGTTTAGGGACCCGTGTTGTGATCTACCTGATAAAGCCAGCACTTGCAACGCCAGCATTCCATATTGGAGTGCTGGTGTACTCTGCTTCTGCACACCTTTTCTTCTGTCCTTATCCTCTGCTACCTCTTCCTTCTTCTTTTTTTTACATTACTTATTTTGAAAGTCAGAGTTAGAGAGGGAGCAACAGAGACAGGGAGGGGGATCTTTCATTTATTGGTTCACTCCGAATGGCCTCAACAGCCAGTTCTGGGCCAATTGAGAAGGCACCCAATGACTTGGGCTACCTTCCGCTGCTTTCCCTAGACCAATAGCAGGGAACTGGATTGAAAATGGAGCAGCCGGACTCAAACTGGTGGCCATATTAAATGTTGATGTTGCAGACAATGGCTTTAACTGAACCTTCTTGCCAGCTTGACTAGGAAGGCAACAGGTAACAGCTCAAATATTTAGACCCTTACCTCCATGAGAGAGAACAGACTGGAGCCTCCTGGCTTTTGGCTTCAACCTGACTCATTCCTGGTGATTGCAGTATTTTCTAAATAAGATCTCTTTGTATGTGTGTATGTATCACTGTGCCTTTCAAATAAAGTAAATCTCTTTATAAGAGTACGTCTATGTTTTCTTTGCTTCCTGTTGTGCATAATACCTTTCAGACAGTCACAGGCCTCCTACCTCAGGGATGGAAGCAGATTTACTGTCACCACACCCCTCTCCCCATTCGCAGCCCAATTGTGCAGCATCTGAGCCAGGTGGATAGTAGTACTCAGAATGTGCTTGACACCCACTTGCATCTAGTAGAGAATGGGTTAAAATGTCGCTTACCCGGGTCCAAATTCAGGCCCCCTGGAGCAAATTCATTTGCCACTTGCCAAGTTCCTCAGATTATTCTTAGGCAAATGTGGATGGATAAGATGGTAGTCCGGTTCCACAATTTCTACCTTAGGCAAGTCACCTACCTCAAGCCTGTTTTTCACTCTACAATGAGTATATTAGTACCTACTACATGATTTGTAAAGATGTTGAATTTAAAAAAAAAAAAAAAAAAGACAAGCAAGGAGCACTGGGGAACCAGTTTGTGAAATACTAGGTACCACTACCCTGCTGTCTTCACATTTGTGCACAAGCCAAACTCGAGCTTCCAGCAGTGTACTGCTTTGAGCACAGAATCCAGCTCTGTGTGTGTATATGTGTGTGTGTTTGCGCGCTTGCATGCTGCAGTGATCCAGTGCCATTCCTATACCTAAACTCAGAGTAGATCCCAGCTGTGGACACTTGGTACTCCTCTTCTCTGGCCTTGTAAGGCAGAAGGGTTCTCCTCTCCCCCTTCTCTGCATGTGCCTTCAACCATCATTCAAATTCACATGCAGTGGAAAGGAAGGCATGAGGAGCATGTTGGTAGATTTACTTTAGAGTAGTAATTGTATGCATTGACTTTCATTTTCAGTGAAAGCATTTTAAGACGTACTTCTTGATGAAGTAACCCAAACCTATAAGTGTACTCCAGAAAGTCTGTGGAAAATGGAATGAAAAGATAAGCTGGTTCTGATGTGAAAAAATTTTGACATACTTGCATAATTTCTCTCATAATAAATATTTTTCCATGAAGTTTTTGAGACCCTTTCTTAATAGCAGAACAGTGAAGCCATTTGTTGGAACATGAAAGTTAGACATTTCTAACAAGTAAACAGTCAGTGCACTCAAAAACAGTTTCATTTCTTTGAAACAAAAGAGCAGTGATGGAATCAACTGCAGAGAGTTCCACCTGGGATTGAGATGCAGCAGGAGGGCAGGGCTTTCCTTCCCCCTTATCCTGTAGGCATCCTGACAGACTGGGCATGTTCTCAGCAGTTCCCACCAAATCTTAGAACATCTGCTAAGTCTGCGGTTGTTTTAGGGAACTTAGAATACTTTCCACATACTACCAAAGCCCTGATGGTAGACATCTGTTAAGATCACTGCCTCTAGGATGCTGTTGTGAGACATTAACAACCTGAGGGAGGATATTCCTGAACACAGATTTGGCCGGTGGCTGCGTCAGTAGGCGTGTTCTGTTTGTTACTGCCATGCTCCCATCTTTATGTGTGCTTGCCAGCACTCCACCTCCTTTCTGCTGAAAAATATCCATCAAGTCCCCTGGCCCTCAGAGCTCTTCCCAACTTACAGGAGTTCCTTTTGGAACTGGCGTGATGGCTTCAGTGCAGGTTCCTGAATAAGTTCAGTGAGTTGACCTAGAAAGAGCCTCAAGGGCCTGCTCGGCCCAGGCATTGGCCTGGAACTGAATGTGGTGTCTGCAGGTAAGGATTGGAAGCCATGGACGTGATCCCCGAAGCCCCTGGAAAGGGCTGGATTTAGGTCAGAGAGACCTGGAGTTAGATGCCTGTTTGCCATTCCCGGTGTATAACCCTAGGGAGGTTATGCAGCATCTCTAACCTCAACTCTCTCCTCTGTAAGGGACCACCTGACTCATAAGTCGGAGTGAACAATAAATGATATATTGGCAAAGCACTTGTTGTGTAGTGTCTGCTACAGACTTAATGCTTAGTAAAGAGTTGCTGTTACTACTCTGCTTATAGAGAGTTCACTTGCAAACCAAAGCCCCATCTTACTACCTTTTTAAAACTCTTGTTGTTTGTGCTGTACCTAAGCAAGGGACAGCTGATCAAAAGTAACCATACAGTGTGTCTTCACACTTTAAAGATAGTTAATAATAGCCTTGTAAGTCATCTCATGTAATGTAACTTTAGACTTACCTCCGTAGAGGGACATTTTCTGAACATTTATTCACTGTTGCCGTTGTCTCAGGATATTTTCACTTTATATGTTCCCTCTGAAAATAGGAAACAAAGAATGAAATGCTACACTGGAAAGAAGACTCCTTATGCTGTGAGCTGAGCTGATGGGAAAACTGGGATAATCTGTCACCCATGTAGCACAGCCAGTCCTGTGCAGTGCCTCCGCTAGTCCACCCCCGTGTGGCCCATGGTTTCTTCCTCTGGGCACTTATCTCCTTCTCCCAGTGAACTCACCGAGATACCTCCCCCTCTTTGTGTGTGTGTGTGTGTGTTTTAAAGATTTTCCTTTTTCCAGTTGATCCCTGGTTTTGTTTAGCTAAATAGTTGAGACTCAAAATGACTCAAAATTGATCCAAAAAATGAGGTGAAAGCTAACAATGAGTTTAGAAAGTGGTTGATCAGAAAAAAAATCTAATTAGGAAAAAAAATAAAGCCATTTTGTATTTAATATTTATATTCCCTGAGTCTTAAAATCTGTGGTTTGTTTTTTTTTTGTTTTGTTTTGCTTTGTTTTCCATTTTATTTGACAGGTCAATCCCCAAGTGCTCATAACAGCCAGGACTATATTAGATGAGTCCAAGAGCCCAAACGTCTGTCTACATCTCCCAGGGGTTTTGGTCTTAAATATTTGAGCCCTCATCTGCTGCCTCCTAGGAAGCTAGGCAGGAAGCATAGCTGAGCCTTGAACCAGGTATACCAATATGAGATGTGAGCATCCCACCCAGCATCTTAACTGCTGCCCCAAATGACTTCCCCTATACAGTTTTTTTTAAAGTTCATAATTTTAACTTGTTACACAATTGTATGTTAAAATAAGAAAATGTGAGAGGGACTGGTGTGTGTGCAGCCCATTAAGCCACCACCTGTGACTCTGGCATCCTGTATGAGTGCTGATAAGATCTGGCTTCTCCTCTTCCAGTCCAGCTCCCTGCTGATGCGTCAGGGAAAGCAGCAGAGGATAACCTAAGTTCTTGGGCCCCTGCACCCATGTGAGAGACCTGAAAGAAACTCCCTGTTCATGTCTTTGGCCTAGCCCAACCCTGGCTGTTGCAACCATGTGAGGAGTGAACCAATAGATGGAAGATCTCTTTCTTGGTCCCTCTTCATTTGTAACTCTTCCTTTCAAATAAATAAAAATAAGTCTTTAAAAAAAAATAAAAATGAGGTGTTAAGGGGTACATTTTATGGATAAAGGAATAAACATTTATCTTAGCAGTTAGCATCCCGTCTCATATCAGAGTACTTGGATTTAATTCCTGGTCTTAGCTCCTGACTCTAACTCCCTACCAATGCAGTTTTGGGAGGCAGTGGTGATGGCTCCAGTAGTTGATTTCCTACACATAAAACAGACCTAGGGTGTTTACCTAACTCCTGGCTCTGGCCCTGGATCAACCCATGTTCCATTACAGGTATTTGGAATATGAATTAGTGAATTGGAGAGTGTGTATGCTCTCTTTCTCTCTCTCTCATTTTCACTTTCTCTCAAATAAATGAGAAATAATAGTAAATTTCTAAAAATGTTAAGCTTTGAAGAAAACCTTCAGTCATCTATACTACTGTTTGAGTATGTATGTAGCAATTAGACTTGTAAAATTCCACATGATCTTTTTGTGAAGGAATTCCTATCAAAAAAGGACATGGGCTTTGGAACTAGAAAGACCTGGTTTCAGACAGTGTCTGCAACTTATTTGCTGGTCTATCTCAGACAGAACATTGAAACTCTTAAAACCTCCATTTTCTTATCCATAAATTAGACTGCTTAAACCAAATGGAAGAGTGGTTGTGAGGTTCATGGAGGCTCTGTTGGGGTCTACAACAAAGGTGATTATTCAGCCAGTGAGCATGAATTGTTGGTTTCATTGTCTCCTGGGAGGCCACTAGGAAACATTTTCTGTTATCATGAAGTGTTCAGATTCTTAAGGTTCTTGACGTTCTTACACCTCAAAGGAACTTACTAAAGGTGCCCAAGTCACGTATTCAGGATGAAGACTTCAAGACCTTAAACAAGCATATGGTTAGTGTGTGCTGAATTGGATTGAAGCTGGCATCCTTCACTTAGGAATTCCTTTGCTTAGGGGTTAGAGGCAATTTATCTCCGTCTGCCATCCTGCACATTTCTTGGCTTCAACCTCCTGCATTCCTTCTAAATTGTAGTTTGGTGGAGATAGCTAGGTCAACTTCCTCTCTATTGGAACCCAATTCATGGACAAGAATAGGACTCTAAGGCTGACCCACATGTCTGTGACAGTGCCTTGTCATGACTCTGGAACAGCAACAACAACAACAAAACCCAAACTAGAAAAATTCTAAAACAGTGTCTCTCTTGGAGTGCTTGAGGCTGTTTTCATATTGGTATCATTCTAATTATTATGTGACTCTTTTAATGCTCAAGAAAGGACTGTCTTTCAGAGTAGCACGCTGTTGTCACTGCACTGGTAAGGAAATCGGGTTGCAGCCAAGGAGGGGAAACTTGACAGAAGCACTCATTGTGATTGAATCATGGGTCCTTTTGGTTTTCTCCATTGTTTCATTGTATTTTTCCCATTTTACTCAATTAGTAAGGTAAAAACCCCATGTGGTTGAAGGGTTATTTTTCCTTAATCAGTCAAAATTAAAACCCCATTGTCCCAAGTCAGACTTTCAGACAGGCTAACTCTGCATTTTTCCATGTCAAAATACTCAAAAACAATTCCCTTTTGCTGTCACACTGCAACCATGGAATAGTCTTCACTATTATAGATGCTCTGAATGTTTGCAGACAGAGCAGGGTTCACAGAGGGCTTTATCATCATCACTTGCATGGAAAGGGGCCATGTTAATACATTCCCATAGACAGATCTTAGATTTCACTTATATCTAAAGCCAATGAGATGATCCAACAAATACTTTTGGTCTATTTAATGGACTTCACTGTGGGAAATCTTTTTAAAACTTTTTCTGGCCTTATTCTGTTAACTTCCCTCCACAAATTTCACTTCAGTTTTCAGAATTATCAACTGATAGTTATTAGGCCACGAAGAAATAGATGTTATCTATTTCCTGTCAAAAAAGAACCCTTTTCACTCTTTTCTCCCCCAAGTTCACTCTGGGAGTCTGACTTTAACGTTCTGCTTTCACCTTATCACCCCTGTTCACCCACTCCTCACTGCACCACGCTAGCAATCAGACCAGGCAGTGCCGAGTGTCCCTTTCATCTCCTCGTCCCTCCTGCCCGCACCCCAGCTCAGCCCCTGAGGGGTGGTCAGTCCCTTCTTCCTCTCCAGCCAGCCCTATGTTCCTAGGGATGCCTGCGGGAACCCTGGAGTTTCCTCACAGGGTGAGCCTCCTGTTGTGTGTGCATGCTCAGCTCAATGGCTCTTGATTTGTCAATATTAAATAATTAGTGATCACAAGGCCTTTACCTCCATCTTCCACCCTCTAAAAATATAATAGCTCTTTTATTTCACAGCACTTGACTTTGTTTATTTAGCATGATCAGGGCAACAGTGAGCTTTAGCAAGCCTGTTAAATATTTACTCATGAGGCGGATATTTATGCATGAATCAGTGGCACTTATCAGTATGTGACACTGTATGTTAGGTTTTGCACTTTTACAACCCAAGAAACTGCAGTTAACCAAAGGATGAAATAAGCATCTTTTTAAAAATAAACTCTCAGTGCACACTATCCTTCTCAGCACCAGGGTGCCTCCTATACTGAGATGCGCTCTATGCAATCACTAAGTCTTAGAGAATGAGACATGACAGGGTGGTCAGGGCATCCCAACTGAGGTCAGGTGTATCTGATTGTTTGATGGAGTCTTACCGTTGTGTGAAAGACTACAAAGGAAAGTGAGCTGTGCATTGCAGAGTCTATGAAATGGTGGTCCTTGTGTCTCCAGCAGCCTTCACCCTTGTCAGGATCCTGACCAGCTGGGAGGGAGCACCGCTGCTGTTCCTTCCCATCCCCATCACTCTGTTCTTAGGGAGGCAACAAATCTCATTAGAAGCAGAGTGGATGCTGGGGTACAGGCAAACCTGTGTTGGTCGGATGGCCTCACCCCTGTTTGGTTATGTAAATCAGAGGCACCTTCTGCTTCAATTTTGCCTGTAAAATTCCAGTGACCATTCTGGCCTCACCTACTCATGGGGAGAGTCAAATTAGATGCTGTGGTAAGGTACCTAACTATATGTGTTCATTCTTGACGATCACAGAGGTGGGATGCAGAAACGTGGGCCTGACAGTAGAACACTGGTCTTTGCATTTCTTCACCACTCAGCTTCTTCCCAGCATTACAGGTGACTTTTATTTAATGATCATATTTTAGAATGATGCAGTTCAAGCTGTGAAAGAGGAAAATTTTTTAAAAGTTTTGGTTTAGTCTGTGGATAATTCCACAAACTAATTCCCTTGCTTGATGCATTTTAATGAATAAGAACTTATTCTGTATTTTTTATACAAGTCCAAGTCCGTTATAATTAAGCCCAAAGATCTGCCCAAATTATTTTCTTTCTTGTAATTTCATTAGGCCAAGTTTCTGTGAGAACACTGTTAATAACCTGGGTCTTGGCATCCCCCCGCCACACAGATCTTAACCAATAACTACATGATGTAAATATTGGAATCTTTTTCCTAATCACTTTTCCATCTTAAGGGAATCATTAGAACCTTCCAGTGACATGTGTGGTTTCAAAAGGGACAAAAGTCCTCCCTTCAAGTCATAGGAATTTTCCTAGCTCCTTCAGAGTTTAGACTAAATTTAATCCAGTGTCTGCCCTGTGCAGCCAGTGTTCTATGTAGCTGCAGAGTGCAACTGATTCAGTGGTGTCGAACTTAGTTGAATGCTGTCTTAGTTTTTTTCTTGGTTGTCAGAGGAGTTGTGCTTTTAGGGATCATCTAAGTAGAAAAAGACCAGTGTCAGAAATTTCCACTTCAGATTGACTCTTTTGCTTGTTGAGATTCTTCATTCCCATAAAAACAACAAAAAATTATGAAAAATTCAACTTCATAAATCTAGTATGGGTCTGGAATTCTTTCAGTAGTTAGATGTGCATTCTGTGTATCGTAAACTATTACACTGGGTCAACCTGCCCTAAACTTTTCAGGAATGATTTTCTGGGAAATGATTGCAACATCCTCTTCTTTTTACAACCTTGTAAGTGTGGAAACTTGGGTAATGAATAATCACAGGATTAAGGGATTTTAAAGATTTTTTTAAATTACAGAAAGGATTTAAGAGCTAATAGAAATATATATTAAAATAAAATAATCAAAGCAAACTACAAGAAAAGTCAAAGAAAACAAGATGTAATCAACACCAGAGGCGATAAGCTAAATACGTGACATGAAATTTCAAGCAATTTCTTGTAGTAATTATTTACTGGTTAATTTAAACTAAAAAAGGAATTCCCTTGGGGAAGTTCTAGAGCCTTGTTTCAAAATCAGTATTTTAGCTTAGTGTTTGAATCAGTAATATTGACTATCCCTTGCGTCTTATACCTATTAGCACTCAAGGTAACAGCTGATTGGCTGCAGAACTAGCCTCTTCAGTACACTGTTACAATGCCAGGTCAGTTTATTTTGGTTTGGCTCAACTGTTTACTGAATGACTCATCTATGCTGAATTGACCATACTGAAGAGCATTACAGTGTGTTTCAATAACATACGTAGCATGTTAATATCAGTAAAACATATACCTGTGCCAATCAAAGCTTGGTGATTTGTACCATTGTGTGATAAATGTCCTTGATTATCACTAATGATGGTTAATGGGAGCATACTAGCCTAAAACAAGAAATCAAGATAATTTACTCATAAAGGAAATTCCTATTATCATAATCCATGGCAGCTGGTGGCTAGATTTTGATGAGAGAAGCCGCATCTGCCTGGGGTGTGAGTTGCTTGAGCCCTAAAAGAATTGTCCATTGTGCTCTTGTCCTTTCAGTGCCCTTGGAGGCTCCTCTGCTCTTCACATCCCAGCTTTTCCAGGAGGAGGCTGTCTGATTGATTATGTTCCTCAAGTGTGCCACCTGCTCACCAACAAGGTAAAAGCAAGTCCTCTGACTGCTGCATCTCTGAGACTGCTTCTTCCGGGGCCCCTGAGCCCAGTTCACTGTACATGGACCGTCTTCCTACTCATGTCATCTTCCTGTTTCAACCTCCATCTGACATCTGCTAAAGTCCATCTGTTGGCCACCTTATTTGTCCTCCTTCTTTACTTCTTCCTTTTTAAGGATTCTGACTTCCTATTCCAGTCTTACCTCCCCCTCTTGTACCTGGAAGTTTAGTCACCCCTCTTCCAAATTTTCTTTATCCCTAAGTCTTTGCTAGGTCTTGTACCTTCCTAGGGTTTTTCATTTTGGAGCCCGTGTATTTCCCCCTCATGTGATGCATACATGTAGCCACACCTGTTTACCGTTGGTGCATATCAGGATAACTCATTAAAACTGTCTTTATTTCTTTCTGCTTTGCAGTACCTCACTTTTTAAGTCACTTCCTGATATCTTTATATAATTTCTAGGAGTAGATTCCTGACTCCATGGGGACAAAATTCAGGTCAGTTGTTCTACCCAGGCACAGAGATTCTCTGTAGCTTTCTTTTAGCTTCATTGATCAACAATTACATTGGCAAGTCGCTGGGTTTATTGTAATAGTTGTCCTCAGATGTTTCTGACAAGTGGTAAAAATATACTTGTTAATATCCAGCCATGGTATTCAGCTGAAACCTAAAGGTATTGAAGCAACACTGGTTCTCTTTATCCTCCCACATGCACTGTGACTTAATTTGTTTAGTTGTTACAGCACGATGTCTCTTGCTCTTGCTGACTTATTCACATTGGCTTGGAAACTAGAGCTTTTGTTTGTCTCTCTCAGTCAAAATATAGCTAATCCCCATACAAAAAGTATCTTAGAAGTACAATAATATTTTAGAGGCTTCAGTCTGATTTCCCAAATAGAAACTCAAGTCTGGCAATTCGGCAGGCTCCAGACCCAGCCCAGGTTCCAGGGCTCCAAACTTTAATGGGCTTTTCGCTAGACCAAGCCTTTCCTTCCTCCCCCTCCCCCCACCCCCCAAAAAACCTAGTTGCATGGCAGAATTTTTGTTTTCAGTCCAAGGTCTTGCACTGCCCTAAAATCTGTGCCCAAAAACCATAAAGAAAAATGAAAACGTGCTCTTCCAGAAGTGAGAAGAAAAGTCTTTTAAAGCTCTCCTATTGAGATTAATTTCTAGTCCTACATTTTCCTCAAGAAAAGAAAAATTTTTTATAATGTTTTCCCAGAAATACAAGAACCATTCCATTTTTTCTTATTTGGTTCCCTTTCATTAATTTTACTTGTCTTTAAAAATTGATGTTCTTCTGTTTGCTACAAACGAGGACAGTGCAGGCTGCATTTAGAAACGCTCTCTTCAAATGAATTTCCATAATTACATTGGAATCTATCTTTATAGCCAGTTTTGTTGTGGGTTTCTGTTAAAATGGTTTTCTGTTTTTAAAATCAAGTATACAGAACTGTTTTAAATAAAGCCACTTAAGCAAACTTATCATCTGTTTTCTTTTTTGAAAATAACATTTCTGATCCTACATTAAGCCTGCAAAATAAGAACTGTTTTTATAAATTGACATAACCCCCCATTACATAATAGAATTGTTTCATTTTTAAAGGGTACAGCATGGCTATCACTACCAATTGTGTCAAGGTTATTCCAAGTACTTTATCTTGAGCTTTTGTTAGCCATGGAAACTCAGTGTGGCTACAGCCAAAATAAACAGTTGGGATGGGAGGGGGGTGCCTCTCTTTCCCATTGTTTCTTTCATCCATTACAAACACATTATAAGAAAAGTGTTTGCATGTTTAAAACTGATGAATAAATGACTAACTTCCATATGCCTAACTTAATGAGTTCAGAGGTTTTTTTTTAAATAGAAACTGTCATTTGATAATAACAAGGAAATATAAAAAGTAAAACTAGAAATCTCCTATTGTAACACTCTTTATTCTAAATGTTAGGATTTCAAAAAGAAAGAATTAAGCATTATTCTCTTTTCAATAGGAGTTCAAGGTAACCAGAAAATTTTATTTGATGTGAAAAAGCTGTTCTTTACAGAATGGCATCTGATACTTGCAAAGAAATTATAGGATTTGAAAATCACTCTTTCGTATATCCTAATGAAATATTTGGTTCAGATAAGACTTTCCCAGTAGATACTCAAACCATAAGTTGATGAAGAACTGTATTTTTTTTAGACCTTGAGGAAGATTCCTGTTGATTACTCACCATGGTATATATTTGTATATGTGTGTGTAGGTATGCATAGATGGTAGATGGATGGACACATAGATAGATGTTGTTTTTACTCATATGGCAAAGAGAGCCTTCCATTGATATTGGGGTGATACGCTGTCATCACCTTAACCAAGTGATCATGCCCAGGGCTACCTATGAAATTTCTTTGCCAAAAACATTTAACCTGAGATTGGTCATGAATTTGGCTTTAACTTCCAATTTTTAGGAAATACACAGGGCAGAGGAAAGAGGAGGGAAACAGAGAATTGGATTATGATACAGGGCAGCTAACCCCATCTCCTTGAAAAATTCATGCCGTATATGCATGTGCAGGCAGGTACACACTTATACACATATGCACACTTAGTGAGATGCTGTAATTCTATATTTAAAAAAAACAGACAGCTGGCACATTGGCCTAGTGGCTGAAGTCCTTGCCTTGTGTCTACCGGGATCCCATATGTGTGCTGTTACTAATCCTGGCTGCTCCACGTCCTTGTGGCCTGGAAGTACAGTCGAGGATGGCCCAAAACCTTGGGACACTGCACTTGTGTGAGAGACCTGGAAGAGGATCCTGGCCCCTGACTTTGGATTGGATCTGCCCCGGCTATTGTGACCATTTGGGGAGTGAACCAGCGGGCAGAAGATTTTTCTTTCTGTAGATCTGACTTCCCAATTAAAATAAATCTTTTTAAAAATTTGAGCCCAGTGGCGTGGCATAGTGGCTAAAGTCCTCGTCTTGAACACACACATATGGGCGCTGGTTCTAATCCCAGCTGCTCCACTTCCCATCCAGCTCCCTACTTGTGGCCTGGGAAAGCAGTTGAGGATGGCCCAACGCCTTGGGATCCTGCACCTGCCTGGGAGACCTGGAGGAGGTTCCTGGCTCCTGGCTTTGGATCAGCACAGCACTGGCCATTGTGGTCACTTGAGGAGTGAATCATCAAATAGAAGATCTGTCTCTCCTCCTCCTTGTATATCTGACTTTGCCATAAAAATAAATAAATCTTTTTTAAAAAGTAATTAAATATCATTTTGTTATATACTGATTTAAAAAAAGTTTTTCTGGAGACAGTTGAAAAATTGAAAGTGGATGAGGTATCAGATGAATTCAGAGAATAATTGTTAAGTTTGTTGGGTATGATAATGCTATTGTGGTTATATCAAAGAATATCTTATTTTTTTGGAGATACTTGCTGAAGTATTTAGGGGCAAACTGTCATGATGTGTCTAATTTCCTTTGAAATGTTTCAGGAAGATTGATTGATATGTAGGTAGATAGGTGGCTTAATGAAGCAGCTAGGCAAAATATTCTCAGTTGTTGAATATAGATGGTGGAAATGTTAGTGTTCATTTTACTATGTCTACCTCTCTGAATCTGGGGAATTATTCATAATAAAGCGTTTAATGGTGTCCTGCATCACTGCTCAGCTTTGGGTTCCTATTCCAGGTGCAGTATGTGATTCAAGGCTATCACAAAAGGAGAGAGTACATCGCTGCGTTCCTCAGTCACTTTGGCACGTAAGTTCTGCTCTATGAAGCTCCAGTGCCCTCACTTGCTGCTGACTCTCACATGGACACTTGGTTAGGACAGTAGCTTTGGTGTCATTTTCATGTGCTGCTGTCATCAAAGCTCCTGGGAAGACATTTTCATAGCATTCTCCATCCAAAAGTGGAATTCAGTACTTTCCTGGGGCAGCAGCGTGGCAAACCCCAAGTGCCCCAGTGACAGTGGTAGCAGTGCCCGTGGCTGCAAAGCAGTGAGCAGTTTGTGCAGCCCTTTCTTCTCCATCACCTCACAGTAGTCAGGAGGTGAGCTGGGAAGGCTCTGTTGAAACATTTTGTTGAAGGCAGCCCTGAAACTGGTTAAGTCCAGTAGCCTGATGGAAGTCACATGTGTAGAAGAAGTGGCACCAGGTCAAGGACCTCAGTTGTTCAGGCCTCAGGTACCACCCCGGATTTGGGAAAGGGATGGTACAGGAGCAGTGGCAGTGAGAGGAGAGAGAACTTGTGACTGCAGGTGGAGTGATTTCTCCTGCTGCTGCTGTCCTGGATGATAGTCTTCTGGTGGGCTGTGGGTATGCATCCCTGTTCCTTAAATGCTGTCGGAGACCTCAACAGGCTTAAATCAGCAGGACACGCCATGCATTTTCCTGTGGTCTCCAGCAGTCTCGTCATTCTCACTATGTGGCGCAAAGCCACGAGAGTTTTAATGATCTGGTTTTAATTACCTTATTCCAGAGGAGGTTATAAATAATGCAAAAATGTGTACAGAAACACAAAAGGAAAGTTGTAAAGCAGCGAGTGAAGACCTTAGGACAGAAGGAAACCGAGAGCAAGAAAAAAAAAGATAACAAAAAATAAAGCTCACCATGCCCTGAGATGTCATTTTTAAACTGGTAGTTTAAAAATGTCATAGTTGCAACAAAATTTCTGATTCCTCAAAACAGTGTCAATAATTGTTCTCATTATCCATAAAAAATTCTTTATATTCCAGAAGTGTCAGTATCAAAGTGTATAACCATCTTTCCTCTGAGTCCTTAATACCTAAGATTTTCTCAATTTTATTTATAAAAGTTTGACCAAGCACTTTTGATACAAACAGTGGTTGATAAATGATTCCACTGATCTTCTAATTTTTAGTAATATTGTTTTTAATATCTATAACTGAAAATGAAGAAACTCATGCAGTGACCTCCATACACACCCTTAGGGTTTCTCTTGCCCTCTCCACTGAGGGTCAAAGGAATGTGAAAATTGCATTTGCATTTGCGTTTGTGTTTCAAAATAATTCTTTTTAAATGTATATTTTGGGTGTCTTTTTAGCATGTAGGGCCATAATATACGTAATAGAGGTTCTATAGAATCACTGTCAAACTATAAATGTGTTACTATATTTACCACTTGCTGAATTCATGCTAAAAGGTACTGTATGCCTATTTTTGTCTGTGGGCTATAGATCTAAAAAGTTTAGACGTCCATGTTACAATATTGGAGTGATTATAGATTCACAGGTGGAAGGAAATAGAAATTGTAGAATTGACCTAACCAACAGTTCTAGGTGATAATACCAACCATCTTGGAACAGATCACCCAGGCTTTGGTGTCTTTGCTTCTTTGCCTTTGTAAGCGGTGTAGTTAGTTGTCTCTTGCTTAAACTTAGAGATCATGAGTGTTGATGGCCTGACTGGCCTAATTCAGTCAAGGAAAGGGCAGCACTAAGAACATCAAAGGCCTCCTGTACAGAAGGAAAAAATCAGTTCTGCCCTTGCCATGTGGTTAATGCTGTACTTGGCTCTTGAGGGACATGAATGAAGTGAGCCTGCCACAATTCTGCCCAGTCATTTCACAAGAGAGGTGCTTCTCCCATCTGTACTCAACACCCACCCATCTAACCTTCTGCCTTTTCTTGAGTGTGGGGGAAAGGCTCAAAACAAAAGGATTCTACATACACTTTGGGAGAAAACTAACATATAATCCCAAATTTAGTAATTTTGCCATTGCTCATAACTGTTTGATACCCAATGAAAATGACATTTAGCAATCCCTGAAAAGATAAAATGACATTTAACACTATTGTGCAGGCCTGATTGCTGAATTTGTCCTTTTATTCATAGCTAGTAACTAACAGATGTTCTCGTTTAGTGGTTTATCTTATTTGCTTCACAGTTCTGTAGTTAAGTTTGCAGATGCTATTGACCTGATTGACAGATGAGGAAACTGAACTCCAAAGGCCGAGTGATTTGCCTAAGATCATAACAGATGTAAATGGCAATGCCGTGGCTTCAATCTAGGTGTTCTCAGTCCAAAGCCCACACCTCCCGTGGTCTTGCTTCCTTGTTGTAATTCCATCTAAGCCTCAATAACTCTGATTTCATGAATATATTCTTTTCTTGGTCGTGTCCCTTTTCTGCCTTATTTTTTAATGAGGGCTTTCTGTTTTTCCATGTTTTTGTTACTTAGCGGTGTTGTGGAATATGATGCAGAAGGCTTTACAAAACTCACTCTCCTGCTGATGTGGAAAGATTTCTGCTTCCTTGTACACAGTGAGTATACTTTTGTTGTCAGCATGCACTTAAAACATTCTAAACATGTCATAATCAGCCTGAGACATTCTGGGTTCGTGTATTTATTTATGAAGAAAATGTCTCTAGACCAGGTGACTCAACCACTAGAATGATTTTGCTCCTTAGGTGGCATTTGACACCGTCTTGAAACATCTTTTACTGCCTTGATGGGGAGGGGGTGCTTGCTACTGGCATCTAGTGGGTAGAGGTCAGCAATGCAGCTGAACCTCCTGCGGTGCACAGGAGTGAGACCTTCAACACAAGAAATCCTGGATTCCAAACACCAGTATTGCCAGGCTGGAGAACCCCCGTTGCAGACAGATTTCTGCCTAAAAACTCTTATCAGTATCAAGTCTCAAAATTTTCAGGATCACTCAAAACATACTTGGCTTTGATCATTTAGTTATTACCTTGCATTGAGTAAAAAGTGTACAATTTTGCTGGTATGTAATATGGCAGTTCTTCAAAAAGTCTGTAGGAAATGCATATTATCAAAGAATTGCTGCATAAAAGTTCAAACTTTTTGCACCCAAATAAGCTTATCTTTTAATTCCACTTTCCCACAAACTTCTTGAAGTATCCTTTTGTATAACTTCAAAGAAAAGCAATAGTTTAGCATATCCCCCACATCACTCACTATTGTCCACATGGCAGACATATTTGAATGACTATTGGATTATGATAGTACACGTTGGTCCAGATTTCTCTTGATGGATAATTTTGAGGCACTTTTGTTTATTCCCTTGTTACATAAGTATCAGTGACCCATGATGACAGGTTCAAATGGCAAGTCAACCCAGACCTTTATTCTGTTTTTCTTTGTTTTTAAGGTTTATTAATTTATTTGTTTGAAAGAGAGAGTTATAGAGAGAGAAGAAGGGAAAGGGAGAGATCTTTCATCCATTGGTTCACTCTTCAGATGGCCACAATGGCCAGGTTAGGCCAAGCTGAAGCCCGAAGCCAGGAACTTCCTCCAGATCTCCCACAAGGGCCTCCATTTTCCACTGCTTTCCAGGGCACTTTAGCAGAGAACTGGATCAGAAGTGGCACAACCAGGGCTCTAACAGTGCCCATATGGGATTCCAGTATCACAGGTGGCAGTTTAACCAGATATACTGCAACAGTAACCCAAAGCTTTCATTTATAAGTAGGTTAGTATGTACCGTGTCGGCTTCTTAAGCCAAAGGCAAAGACAGTTTTCCTACATCAAATTACAGAAAAGCAGTGGATTTGAGTTAGTCTCACTCAGTGTATATAGAATTGTTCTGGAGAAAAACTGATCAAGGCTTTAGCCACTATAGACTCGGGGGTTTTTCTTCTGGGTTGTGATTTGCTTAGGTTAATAAAATAGTTCTGCCTCCACCTTCTTGCTAGTTCCCATATCAGAATGCCAGTTTAAGTCCAGGCTGCTTTACTTTGAATCCAGCTTCCTGTTAATGTGTCTGGGAAGGCTGGCCCAAGTATGTCACTCATACGAAAGAGACCACAGTGGAGTCTGTGGCTCCTAGAACTAGCCTGGCATATACCCAGCTATTATAGCCATTTGGGAAGTAAACCAATGGTTGGAAGATAGTTTTCCGCCCCCCCCCCCACTTTCTCTCTTTTTCTTTCTCAGGGACTCTCCCCCTTCCTCCATCCTTCCTGTTTCTCTTTCTCACCCTTCCTCCCTTCCTCTCTTTCTTCCTTCTTCCATCTCTTTCCTTCTATGTCCTTTAATTAAATAACATTTGTAAGATAGTTTTATTTTTAATCAGTACATGATTGTACATATTTATGAAGTATGGTGTGACAAATACATACACAGTGTGTAATGATGAGATAAAATATTTTTAAGTTCAACTGAGAGTTAGTTGATCTTTTATGTGTTGCCCAGACAGCTCCATTTTGTTGCATACTACTTTGTATTGAGTTCAATAATTTGTCATACATTAGGGCCTTGTTTTCTAATGCATTTGGAGATTACAAGCATATCACTTTGTGTTGATTGTGTGCACAGATAAGCAGAGTTGGAGAAGTAAAGGTTTGAATCTTGTGTGTGCCTCTCACTGCACCTTGTTCAACCACTAGGACGAGCCATCCTCTCTGTTGTAGTTCGCTCCTTGTATCTTAATATCACTGCCCACACTCTGGTCCTTCTGACAGAAAAGACTTGGGTATGAATCAGGGGACATTGGTGCTGTTTCCTGCTGGATCACTAACCCAGCCTGCCTTCCATACATTGTTTCCACCCATTTTCTTCCTTCTTCTCTGAAACATAGAACTTGCTACATCCCAGGGAAGATTGGTTAGATAACTTGTTTTCCTCAGTCATGCAGTACAGCCTCTGACACTTACCTTCCCTTCGTAGCATCTGCTTGCTTCATTATAATGCCCAAGGGACCATTTGTTCTCTCTTCTCTTTCCATGGAGATGAGGAGGTGAATATGGCACGGCAGAGATGCAATAGAGAACATTGCCAGGAATGACTGTGCAATCTCAGAGGTAAAAAAGAACTTGGAACCAGAGGCAGATTTCTGTGGACTGCTCCACCTCTTCGGGGCAGTTGAAGATGCAGCAGGAGAGGAGACAGCACCTGTGCTGGGCCCTGCCTCTCTGCTCTGAGGCCCAGGAAGACAGCTGGCAGCAGGACCACTGCTGGCAGTCCTTCTGAGACTTTAGGATGCCAGAGGAAAGAGGCACCCTTCTCTTGAGCAAATGGTTCTGACTTCAGATTTGGCCAGAATGTGTGGAGGCCAGTGTGCCCAGGAGAAATGATGTACAGGCTGTGGGACCTGTTGAGACCTACAGCATCCTGGCATTCTGTCAGCTCACGAGGTTTGTGACCACGATTACTCCTGTGGAGATGCCTGTCCACCACCACCCTCTCCCTGCCTCCTCCATCCACGCGCAGCATAACTCAGGACTTGGCCATCATCTAAGAATCGTCATAGCGATTGACTAGGTAGTTTCATAGTTACGAACTTGTTCTTTGCACTGGTGATCGACACTGTCTTTAAGCCAGCCTTTTCAGAAGCTGGATGGCAGGAGGCCCAGACAGCAAGGTAAAATCACAGTAAGCAGAAGTGGGCACTGGTGCCTCTGCTGTGCTTCCGGAGCTCCAGTTAGCTGCACCTTGAGCAGACAGGGGAGGAGGCAGCTGCCTCAGGTAACAGAGCTGCTACTCAAGAGGGGAGACTATTGGGATCGGTGACTGTAAGTAGTTGAAGGGACCTGTGACTGTATGGCAAACTGTCTTTTCACTACAGGGAATCCTTGGAAAGTGACCTTTGAGTCATCCAGCCTGGACTGCAGACAGTTTATCTTATTACAATGCCTGTTCGAGCCAACCTGAACACTTTTTCTCTTCTGTGTTCTATCCCCCATCCGTTTGAGTTGAGGGTACTGAGAACCTACTGTATGCTCAGTACTGTGCAAGGTATTAGAAGATGAAAGTACTTTGGCCTTGACCTTGAGACAGTTTGGGAGGTACAGCACAAGGAACTGGAAAAGCACAGCTAGGGGGCCAGACCCACTGCCAGCCTGTCTTTGTATGGCTCTCTTTTTTTTTTTTAAGATTTATTTTATTTTTATTGGGAAGTCAGATATACAGAGAGGAGGAGAGACAGAGAGGAAGATCTTCCGTCCATTGATTTACTCCTCAAGTGGCTGCAACAGCCGGAGCTGAGCCAGTCCAAAGCCAGGAGCCAGGAACTTCCTCTAGGTCTCCCACACGGGTGCAGGGTCTTGAGGCTTTGGGCCGTCCTCAACTACCTTCCCAGACCACAAGCAGGGAGCTGGATGGGAAGAGGGTCACTAGGATTAGAAGTGGTACCCATATGGGATCCCCTGCAAAGCAAGGAATTTAGCTGCTAGGCTACTGCACTGGACCCATTTGTGTGGCTGTTAAGCTAGGAATAGTTTCTACGTTTTTAAACTTGTTGAAAAACAAACTAAAAAGAGTGGAATCTACAGCAGAGCTGGTGTGTGTCTTCTAAAGTCTACAGTCTTTACTACTTGACCCCTTGGGAAATGACGTGTGACAGCCTCTAGTGACAAAAGAGATCAGATACAGGTGGAGGACAGTGCTGAGCAGGCTTAAAAGCAAATGTTTTATGAGTTGTCTGCTATAGTGAAGGCACAAAATGATGTATGAAGAAGGGACATTCTCCTGTGTTACATATGCAAGGTGGGGCGGATGATAGAGAAGTCAGAAAACACATGAGGGGCCAGAGGGCTGTGAGAGCAGCTGCAGGGCTGCTGTGAGGGCAGTTACAGAGGACCTCTCCCAGGACGCGACACTTCAGCTGAAACCTTACAGCAGCCTCAGTGAGCCAGGGAAGGAGAGGCAGCAGAAGGCTTTGCTCGAGTGAGTGTGGCTGGGGCTCAGTGAACGGGGGGGAGGTTTGGCCTTTGTGGATTCTCTTTTTCTCTTTCTTTCTTTCTTTCTTTCTTTCTTTCTTTCTTTCTTTCTTTCTTTCTTTCTTTCTTTCTTTCTTTCTTTCTTTCTTCCTTCCTTCCTTCCTTCCTTCCTTCCTTCCTTCCTTTCTTTTTTCTCTCTTCCTTTTTCTTAGCTACGTATTTTAAGTTCTTTTCTTAGGGATTTGTTCTGGAGATTGCAGTATGCGTCTTTAGCTTAACACACTCTACTTCAAGTTAATAGTGATTTCATTCTGGTAAAACAATAACAGCTTTGTAAAATGTAACATCATGGGCCCATCCCATTAGCCTAGTGGCTAGTCCTTGCCTTGGATCCCATATGGGCATCAGTTTGTATTCCAGCTGCTCCACTTCACATCTATCTCCTGGCTTGTGGCCTGAGAAAGCAGTCAAGGATGGCCCAAAGCCTTGGGACCCTGCACCCATGTTGGAGACCTGGAAGAAGCTCCTGGCTCCTGGCTTCACAATGGCTCAGCTCTGACCATTGTAGCCACTTGGGGAGTGAACCAGCAGATGGAAGATCTTTCTGTCTCTCCTCTCTGTAAATCCGACTTTCCATTAAA